TTTTTTTTCAAAAGCCCTAAAAAATAAAATAAATAGTCAAACCCGTCGGTTCAGTAAAAACCGCCGGTTCACTGGTTTAATCGGTGATCTGGCCGGTTCACACCGGTTTCATCCGGTCTAAATGTAATTCCGATCTTATCCCTTAATCGGACCGCCTGGCCCACCGATTCTTGGTCCGGCCGACCGGGTCGGGCTGGGTTTTAAAACATTGTTCCTAAGTTTTCTATTATGCCACAATCTATACAACGTTATAAATCAGGTCATGCATATGTCAGAAAACACAGGCAGCAGGCTACCACACCCCTTCCCGACACTGAACCGTCACCTGATCCTATACCAGCTAATCCACGGCATTCTGGTTGAATATCTCACGCACGAGATAGATATTCACCAGACAGGTATGATTCCTCACATACTTCTCTGACTACCACACTCTTTAGCATATTTATTCCTACTTGTTACTCACAGGCTATTAAGGAGGTGCGATGGATAAAAGCAATGAATGAAGAGCTTCAAGAGAATTTCACGTGGAATATTGTCTCTTGCCCTCTTGATGTAAAACCTATAGGTTACAAATGGATGTATTCTGTAAAATTGAATTCGGATGGGTCTCTCAATCGTTACAAGGCTCGTTTGGTTGCATTAGGAAACAAGTAGGAATATAGAATTGATTATGATGAGACATTTGCATCAGTTTCTAAAATGACAATTGTCCGCACGATCATCTCTATAGCTGCTTCTAACGGGTGGACTCTACATCAAATGGATGTGAATAATGCTTTTCTTCATGGTGACCTGACAGAAGATATTTATATGACTCCACCTCAAGACTTATTCTCTTCATCTAAAGGCGTGTGTAAGCTCAAAGGCTCCTTATATGGTTTGAAAGAGGCACTTAGAGCATAGTACGAGAAATTTCGCTCCACTTTACTTGGATTCTCTTTTACTCAGAGTCAGTATGATTCATCTTTATTTATTCATAGCACATCTGCAGGTATTGTTCTGCTTCTTTTGTATGTTGATGATATGATTATTACTGGTTTGGATTCTGCTTCCATTCAGCGACTTAAACAACAATTACAAGCCTCGTTTCACATGAAAGATCTGGGTAATCTACATTATTTTCATGGTCTTCAGGTCCATTCTACATCCAAGGGCATCTTTCTCAATCAACACAAGTATGCTACAGATTTGATTTCTATGGCCGGTCTCGAATAAGCTAATCTGGTAGATACTCCTCTTGAGGTTAATGTTAAATATCATCGTGATGATGGTGATCTTTTGTGTAATCCCTTATTGTATCGACAACTTGTGGGTAGCCTCAACTACTTGACTATTACTCGCCCTGGCATATCTTTTGTTGTTCAACAAGTAAGTCAATTCATGCATTCTCCTCGCCATTTTCACTTGGATGCGGTTCGTCGTATAATTTGCTACTTAAAGAGAACCTCTCACCGTGGATTATTCTTTTCTGTTGGAATTTCTCTTCAGTTGAGTGCTTATAGTGATGCTGATTGGGCAGGGTGTCCTGATACTCGTTGATCTGTTACCGGTTGGTGCATATTTCTTGGTTCTTCATTGATCTCTTGAAAAAGTAAGAAGCAAACAAGAGTTTCTAAATCTTCTATTGAATCAGAGTATCGTGTCATGTCTGCTGCTAGTTCAGAAATACTTTGGCTTCGTGGTTTGTTGGCTGAACTTGGATTTCCCCAAACATAGCCAACTTCCCTTTATGCTGACAATACAAGTGTCATTCACATTGTTGCAAATTCTGTTTTTTATGAACGCACTAAACATATCGAAGTTGATTGTCATTCAATACGTGACGCCTACGATGATCGAATAATATCACTTCCTCATGTCAGTACTCAGTTGCAGGTTGCAGATATTCTTACCAAGACTGTTTCACGCCTACGACATCAGTTTCTTGTTAGCAAATTGATGCTCCTTGACCAGCTGCATCAATTTGAGGGAGGATGTTAATCAAGAAATAATCAAACACATTTATTGTGAATAATTTACATTCATAGAATAGGAAATTAATTATTATGAATTGTAATTAGTCATTATGAATTGTAATTACCTGTAATTACCGACAATATTATATATAAGTATCAAATACAATGAGAAAGACATCAAGCCTATATTATTCTCTCAAAGGAGAAACCCTTTCTGAACTGTAGTAACAATCTGTTACACTTTACAAAAATGAATGAGTGAATATCACAGTGATACTAAATTCTTATTTATACCTGCCTAACTGGGTAATGTAGGACCCTAACAATGCCTCCCTCCCGAACGTTAACCCTGTCCTTAAGGTTAAAATGTGGAAATTGTTGATTCATCATGTCCCCGTCTCCCCCGATGACCCCATCTTCGGATCTATGCCAGAACTTGTTGGATGAACTCATCTCCTCTCTTGATTTCTCTCGTAGCTAGAACTTTGTCTGGAACAACCATCTCAACATCCCCTTGCAATTCATGTGGAAAGAAGGTTCTATAGCATGCTGTCCCACAACCTTACAAATGAAACATGGGTGCACCCTAGTAGTTATGTGTAATTACAGTTTAAAAGCTACTGCCCCACCTGCTTGAGCATAAAAATGGCCCATAGTATCTAGCAGCCAATTTTGGATGTAATTTCTGACCCAAGGTAATCTGTCTAGGAGGTCTTATCTTCAAATAGACTCAATCTCCAACGGCCATTGTAGATTGCATTCTATGCTTATCGACATATTTGTTCATTTAGTCTTAAGCATGCAACATGTTCTTTTCAACAGTTTCAAGGCTTCATCTCACTGTTTCTATAAGGATCTCACCAAGTATAAAGTGGGAAACAGAGGGTGGTGATCTCCCATAAACTACTTCAAACAGGGTTCTACGATGAGAAATAGAAGCACTATAAAATATCACATTTACTCTTCAATTTGGAGCTCCATTAAAAGTTATTTTCCCACTGTTATTATGGAGAATTCTTCCTGGTGCCTTAGTAATGGTAAACACATCAACTTTTGGCTTGATTCTTGGTGCGGTCCACCTCTGTCCCAAACCCTTCAATTATCTGTTTTAGACCCTGATTTTATAGATAAAAAGGTTGCAGATTTCATTGTCAACAATGCTTGGAATATTCCAATCAACACCTCTTTGGCTTTTCCTAACTTATTATCTCTCATCTCTGCCTGCTACATTCCTATTGATGACTGTGAGGACTCAAGAGTTTGGAATCTTTCTGAGTCCGGATGCTTGACTTTCAAGGATGTGTATTTGTTCTTCTCTCCTCATGAGACTAAGGTGCCTTGGCATAGACTGGTTTGGAATGCCGGTATCCCTCCATCCAAGTCGGCTCTGTTTTGGAGACTTATCGAGACAAGCTGCCCACGGATCAGAATCTTCAATCTCCCGCCTGCTGCATTGCTTCGATGTGCAGCCTTTGTCATCTGCAATGTGATTGTGAGTTGTTGCAACATCTTTTCTTTGACTGCTAAACAGCTTTGGATTGACTTTCCTCAATTCTTACTGGCTTCCCTGCCATCATTCATTATAAATAATATTTGGTTCGCTCGTAATCAGGCCCGTTTTCAAAACAAGTTCATTGCTTGGAGTTATTGTAAAGATCTCATCTTAAGGAGCTTATCTATTGCCACTTTTCCTACTATTTTCAATTCTAATATAGTTGAATTTTCAATTCTTAAAGGCTTGGAGATGAGTCTTATTCCTTCGGATCCCCCTCTCATCTTGGACATTCTGTGGCAGCCACCTCCGGAGGGTTGGATTAAAGGAAATCGTGATGGCATGGTTGCTAATTCAATGGCCGCTTGCAGCGGTATTTTCATGAATTCTAAGGGCGATCATTGTCGGTAGTTTCATTGGCTCTAGTAATGCTTCTGAGGCTGAGTTTTATGGAACGCTTTTGACAGTGCAAATTACAGCCAAGAACAATGGGTATCATCTTTGGCTTGAATCAGATAGTATGCTTGTGGTGCAAGCTTTTTCTGACTTTTCTCTTGTCCCGGCGAAGTTGCGAGGATGGACTGCATTAACATCACTCGTTCGATGCACTTCATTGTTTCTCATATTTTTCAAGAAGAAAATGCTTGTGCAGACAAGCTTGCTAATATAGGGTTCAATCATAAGAAATTCTTTTGGTTTGATTATATTCAGGAAACAATCAGAGATGACTTTTTGAGGAATTTTAATGGAATTCCTTGCTGCAGATACAAAGCTTCTTAGGGGTGTTGGCTTGGTCCCCTATTTTTGAGTAGCTGCTCTTTTTTATATATCTTCTTGGCTGTGGCCTTTGTTTTAAAAAAAATTTAAAAAAATCTACGACGAAGAAAGATTTTGCAACCGTAAATTTCCACCATGTATTCATTTCTGAAATTTTAATTCTAATCACTCAAACTATTCACTTTAACGTTCTAATTACCATTTTACCTCAGCCGCTGGTGTAGTAAAACTCGACCAAAGTGGCTGAAAACTCATTACAATCAAAGTCGAATTTTTGTAATCATAATAGCTCAACCAATAAGAATTGATTTCCAATTTTTTTATGCTGTAAATCAAAGCACAATTTTTAACATGTGATTGCTTACAGACTCTACTTGTAACGTTAAAAACCCAATTTGTTAAATTCATTAAATAATGTAGGCAACACATCATTGGATACTTGATTAAAATAAGATTTATCAGATACCAATGTAAAATTAAATTCTGAAAAAATCTAACTAATAAAAAATCTAAATAAATTTTTAAAATCAATTATTCAAACAAATATAAGCCTATTCATATAACTTTCTGAAGATGATCAAACGACAACTATATACACAACATCACAGCCAAAACCATATATGTACACTTCACAATAAGCTGTTCAAAGTCGGAACAATAGCAGCAAACAAATTAGCATTCGAATTGGCCACACTTGCAACAGTATAGCAGTAATCAGCTAAATTTCCTGAGCAAACCTGTCACAAACTGTCAATTTACAACTTAACCTTTTGTTAATCTATCTTGTAAGCCCACCCATGTTTGTCCAAGAATTCATGGACTGCTTCCTTAATGGCCAAGTTCGGTACTAGTTGTGACGGATCAAATTGTTCCCTCGTGATTGGATCAAAACCACCCACCTATGACAGGACCAGTTAAATGAGTGCGCAATTCAACTTCATGAAAACCGGAAATACGTAATCAGGATTATGAAACATGCAAAACACATTACCTTCTGAAGATGATCAAGAAGCATTGCCCTCTCGTATGTAAGTCCACTCGGAGTGATTACAGGATCATGAAAAATATCAAGTGTAATTCTACAGCATAGATGACCTGGAATCTGTACATTCAACAATCCAATTTATGTGGTTAATAACATACTAATTACTTCTTGAATCTATTATCTAAAAAGAAGTCGTGTACAAACCTCAGCTGGTATATCGTCTTCTGCAGCTTTATTGAAAACCCTTTCAATAGCCTCCAAACGTTTCAAATAGGGAGTAGTAGCATCATCTACAAATCCTTCTGACTCAGAGATGTCTCCGAGATATTGTTTTTCCTTTAGAGCAGACACACAGGCTTCTCTGAGACACGAATACATATTGTGATAATAACATTTTACATGATAACACAATATTTACTAACAAATAATAAGATGAAACTTGGCTCAAAAAAAGTGTCCGCCAGTTAATAATTATATTAATAACAAATACAACTGATCGGCAACTGAGACAATCACCAGAAAAACATACTTCAAGTTCTGCAAGTCCCAAGATCGCTGGGATGATGCATGTTCCCACTCTTTGTATTTTGCTCTTGCAAGTGCTTGCCATATTTCTTCTACCATATAACCTTGTGGATCGGCACCTCTCCCCAGATTCAAAGCCTTAATTATGACCACGAACCGCAAAAGAATCATTGTTCATTTAAAAAATAAGCGTAAGTCAATGCTAATATCTCATTAAAAGTATCACACAGTAAAATCAGCAGGAAAGTTGTACTCAATCAGATGTAACAAATTTTAAAGGATAGAAGAACCTTGAGGTCGAGATAAGGTAATATCCTCAGACAACCTGTTTCTGATTTCCCATTTTACAATTTAAATTGTTAGAATATAAGAAAATATTATATCCTTTGCATAAAATCCAAGGATGTTCATAAAATATCAACAAGACTGAACTTGATAGAGCAACTCACAATATTACTATAAGAAAACACGGACGACTGGAGAGTTTATGAATTAGAGAAATTAAAATTTGAAAAATCATCCACGACCTATAACGGAGCTTTTTGGCTTAAAATTGGTTTGAACTATCCTTTTGGTATGGAAGAAAATTGGGGAGACTGCCAAGTGTAAGAATTAATGGGATAGGACTTGTACATGCATTAATACACTAGTAATAGGACTCCTCAGTTGGTATTATGTATAACATCACCAGTTCATGGCAAACAGAAAACAGTAGTAAATTGTTTTGCAGTTAAACACTTCAAAATAAATAAAGGCTTAATCATACTATGAAGCACCACATAATTTATTGAAACAGATATAACAAATTCATGGGATTTGAATGAAACAGATATACAAACCTTTTCCAATTCTTTGATTCCTTTTGGAAGCTCTTGTTTCTGTAGCAACGCAAGTCCCAAAATATAGTGCGCCTGAAATATATACACAAGATTCAGCTGGAAACAAGATAATCAAAACAAAGCACAAAGATGCAACCATTTTACATATTTAACTACCAGTAAATACAAGATAGAGAGACTTTCACAGTTACTTTACAATTACTTTACACATGCATTAAAGTTGATAATTTGATATAGAATCTCCTTCCAAAATCAACTCAAAACAAAGACATATACATATATTGGTATACATATATTGGTAGTTAATGCACTAGGTCCCCCAAAGTTATGTTCGATTTAGATACAAAACTCGGCATCGTTTAGTCACTAATACAATATACAAATCGAGTATGAAAATAAAGTTGAGGTTTTCTCCAAGAATATCCAGACAGCTGAACATTATCATAAAGGCTTATAACAAAGATCGTCATCTTACATAGGTTATCAAAATCATAAGACATTTTACGGTTGTACCCCAAAACAGATCATTAAGAATGTCACAAACCAGAATCAAGAATATACACACAAGAGAAACCCATTCCATGATTTTATTACTGATTTGATACGCAGCATATTAAGCCAAAAAGATACAAAGACCGGACTGGACAATTTTTCTATTAAAAGAAATAAGAAAAAACCTTGTTTCTCAAACTAAGACAACCTGTATAAGTTTGGGTTGGTAGAGTTGAAAAAAATAACAGTGACTATTAAGAAAGTGAAAGGAAAATAAGGTCCTGCTTGTGATTTAAAATGGCACTTCAATACAACCTATTTTGCACCTCTGTCAAACCCATAACTAGTCTGCAAAGTACAAAGTCTAGCTATTATTTATGCAACCAACCACTGAATAAAATGAGTCATTTACATTTCCCAAATCATTCTGAAAAGAATAGATCCTATGTGAAAACTCGTGAAATTCACTTAGGGTCTGTTTGGAAGCCGCTTAGAAGGGGAAAGGAAGGTGTTGTGAAAAGGTAAGGAGGAAAGAGAAATAGAAGAAAATATAGCCTACCAACTTGAATGAGGGAGTTTATTTTTCTTCATAATAAGAAATCACCTCAAAACAGAGGAACTAAAAAATTTGTATTGGAGGAAGATTTTGGAGGGCATAGGTAAAATCCTCAAATACAATTGTTGTTGTTAGAATTAAAAATATAATCAACGTAATCATTCGGTAAAAAAGGCTCTAGAATAAGGTGAAAAACTCATTCAAAATGAAATTCAATATGACTAAACAATGAATGAAGCCATCGTATCAACAACGAGTGAGACAAAAGTAATTACAGAACAACAAACAGATCAACCACAATAACCTTAACCGATTTGCTGTCCAGCTGAATTGCTCTTCTAGAGTCTTCCTCAACCCTCTCCCATTCACTACAAACAAACCAAACACAACAAATAACATGGGTTTCAAAGTTCCAGTCAAATCGATACTACACAAAATCTAACGTGAACCCAATTGCGGTCAATAAACCCTCCAAAATCACAATGTTTTAACCACAATACAATTGCATACCGAATTTAAAACCCTAATAAAAACCTCAATCCAAATTCAAATCCAAATCACAGACCAAAATCAAAAACCCTAAACACAAAATAACACCCAAAAGAAGAATAAAACACATACTTGCGCTTGAGATGGCACAGGGCACGATTGGTATAATAAACCGGAATATTAGGGCAAAACGTTATTGCCTGTAAAACAAAAAAAAACAAAAAAAAAACCATGTAAGGAACCGAACAAAGTTTTCATCTTTGCGATGAAAAACAAAATAGGTTAATCAAAATCGAAACAATTCTAAAAACCTAAAAAAAAAAAAAGTAAACGATAACGGAAGATGAAATCGAAGAGAACCTGAGTGTAGGCGTCGATTGCTGCTCCGAAACGGCTTTTCTTGAAGTAATTGTTTCCGTCATTTCTCAAAAGCTCCGCTTGTTTCACCTCCGCAGGGTTTGGCGGCATTTCTCTTACTCTCTCTCACTATATCTATAGGTGTATGTATAGTTTGTGTAGTAATGTGAGTGAATGAATTGAGAAAGAGAGAATTGGGAATGGAGAAATTTGGAAGGGGAGAGGGAGAAGAAACGGATAGTACCGAGAAGGTTACGACGAGTTTTGGAAATGAGCATTGAGTTTTTTGACTCGTTAATTTTGTATTAAATTCTTATAATTTGGACACTCCTCGTATCAAATTTCTAATGAGAAAAAAAAAAGAGAAAATAGAAATGCAGTGTAACCAATAAATTCCCAAATCACTTTTTATATTTTAAAATTATTTAAATGATATAGCAGATTATGATTGGACATTAAATATACATTTTAATGGAGAAAAAAAATGCACTGACAGTGTAAAATATTTTTACACTATCAATCAATGAAAGACATGTATCACAATAAATCTCAATTTTATTTTTAAAATACTAAAATGGCATGGCAAATTTAAGAGTTTTGATTGATTGTATATGTAAAATTGTTTTACACGAATAGTGTATTATCTTTAAACTCAATATTAATCAATGAATAACATATATTTTTCTAAATTACATTTTTATTTTTAAAAAAGTGGCATAACATGATTGGATAATAAAATTGTATTTGATGGTCGATCGTATCTGATCAGAAGGGATCGTCAAGGCCCACGAGATTTAAGTTGAGCAGCGGTTGAATGTGAAGTGGAGGAATACCTGCAAGACACTTCTATGCCAAAGTAAGGTTCAGAGGCAAATACAAATAAAGTGTGAGAGTATAGATGAATGAATGAATATTTGACCATCTCAAGTGAGAGGGTATTTATAGCTCTCAGCGTTGGGCCAAGGTCTTCAGTAATGGGCCACGATGAGGCCCAATAACGAAGACTGTCAGAGTTTACGGGTGTATGGAGTCCAGCACGTGGCCTCCTCCCTGGTCAACTGCCCCAAGAAAGCAGGGAAGTTGGACCTGTTATTCTCGGAGGGCAGGATGATGACGTTATGGACACATGAGTCATGTTCTCCTAGTGAACACGTGGGGAAATGCCCAATAATCCTCAATTTGGGCTGTACGTTTTTGTGCTTTTGTAAAAGCGCTAGATTGGTTCTCTCTAATAGTGGGGCAAGTGTCGGTCCAGTCCAGAACAAGAGCCTCTCAAGTTATTGCCCTTAGGCGAAGGGGTGATGACTTGAGATCAGTTCAAGTGTCGGGGAAGTGTTTCCCGAGAGGGGAAACTGTCAACTCTTGTCGGGGACGACTTTGTGATTCATGTCGAGGAGGACTCGGAAATTCACGTGTGGTATGGTCGATCATCCCTGAGAGAATTTCATTAGTCGAATTCATCTTCTGCTCGTATCAATGTGATGCCCATTAGGGACCTAGATTCGCGGGGAAGCGGGGATTTTCCTTGTGCGCGCCTCTTTGATGTGCCTGTAAGTAAGGCCTTGTAAAAATGTCGAGCATACATTTGCCCACGAGGATGGAATGGCATAGGCGCGTAGTTTTTCTTGTGAGACTATTGTCAATGACGTGTCCCTTAGCGAGCCTCACGTGGCAGCTATCTGGAGTGCCACGATTACCTAGGGCAGTCTAAGAGCCCAAGCAATGTTGACTTTTCGCACGCTACCTCGTGTGGTGGGGACTAACTATAAAAGAGGAATCAGGAGATTCACTTGACATTTTCAAGCTCTCTCTTCTCCTTTCTCTTATCCGTTCGCCACTGGATCTACTGTTCCAACATCACCGTAGACGTCTTCAACGATAATCTTCTCCAAGTAAGCAATTTTATCTTAAACGTGATTTTTCTTAGGTGTTTAGATCAAACGCTTGAATCTTGCTATGAATGAATGAATCTCCGGATGAGGTTCATGGATTCAGGATGAACATTTATGTATTATGAGATGAAGATCCATGAATGTTCATCTGGGTTCATGAATACGGATGGAGATTTTGGGGTTCTTGATGAGTTTCATCTTGACTTGCATCGGGTTCGTTCCCCTTTGAGCGGGGAGGATTCAGGCAAGTTGCCCTTTCGACGAAATTTCCCCGCGTGAGGGTGTAGGTATCTTCGTGTTCGCTGTCGAGGGCTTGGGCCGAGGACCACTCCTCGACGAGATCATCGTCCTTTCACTTGATTTATGGTGGAAGGGTGAATTTGAGGATGTTGAGTTCACTGTTTTCCCCTACTTTTTAGGTACAATGGCACAACCAATCGAGGAAAATATCGTGCCCGACACTGATGGAGGTGAAGTTGAGGCCGCGGTCGACCCCCTGGCTTGGGTTGCGCCCAAACCCTGGAGTAAGGGATCATGTTTTGCGAAGGATGCTTCCGACGTGTTTAATGTCCCTAAGGACAGAGAAGAGATTCCCCTACCAACTGGGTGCTCCAAATCCCTCATTGAAGTCGGAGGATATGCTCGTCTTTCCCGGGCAAACACTTCCCTATGTACGAATTTGCTTTTAACAGAGCAAGGATGTGTTTGCCCTTCAAAGATTTCCAAGTGGGGATTTTTCAATGGCTACAACTGGAGCCCTCTCAGCTTCATCCAAACGCGCTCGCGTCCATGCGAACATTTAAGCTCGTTTGTGAGTACCTTCAGATCGGTGCCACTTTGACTCTTTTTTTTTGTATCTTCCACCTCCAATGGCAGACCATTGACGGGCGGCAGGTAACAGTGTCGTTTAAGAAATTCGGGAAACTCTTACGACCGTACTTAGAATCTGTACAAAACTTCAAAAAGAGGTACTTCATCGTGAAGCCCTTTACTGATGTAGTTGTGGATTCTCTGTATAACCGCTCGAAGGAGGTCAAGGATGGTCAGACAGTGACTCGACTGATGGTGAAGTTTCCTCTTGAGTGGCAATGAAACATTTTGAGCAGAAGCCCGAGTGTTATGCGGTTAAGCCCGAGAACTTAGATGCCCGGGATAGGCTTTCTTATGACAAGCTATAGGCTTATGTAAAAAGCTTCTCCCCAGGAAAGTGTGTGGACATAGACAATAACTTCCTTTTTGATGATAAAGGGGAACATCTTGTTGTTCTCCGACTGATTAACACAAAAATGCTCCTTGATACTTCTATGATGATGAGGCTTTAAGACTTCTAGGTAGGGGACATGCATGTAATTTCATGTTCGTACTTTTGTTTAGTAGACTAACAGTTTCTTTTTTGATTTTAGACCAGATGGCGACTCTCTCCGAACGTTTTCTCAAGTTGAGGCCCAAAAATCCATCACACTTGGAGCCCAAAAATTGGGTTGCCCAACTTCAGGAACAAGTTAAAACTTATGCCCTTCCAGGTGGCTCATCTTCCCCTCCAGGAACCCAGGCTCCCCCTCCTGAACAACCGGTAAAAAGGAAGCGTGTGGAAGACCCCGAGCACGTGGCAGTTATCGGCAGGGACAAGGGTGTCGGGGCGGTTTTCATGTTTCCCTCTGTTATCTCAACTGAGGTATCTTCAGTGGGAAAGTTCCTTAGGTTTCCATGAAGAGGAGAGGGAGTATATCATGTCCGAGGACAAAGAAACTCGGTGGAAGAATCTGTCAGAAGATGTGGTCATCGTTGTAACGCCCAATATTTAAATAATTATTTAATTAAATATTTTTCGAATATTTTTCCAACTAAATTTTCGAAGTTGTGTCGTTCTTAGTTAAATTAATTAGTTGATTAAGTTGTAAGATTAATATTGAATAATACTATTATTATTTATGTGGATCTATTTTAATGTTAGAAGTAGTAGAAAGGAATGTGTGGAAATTTAAGCCCAATAAAAATAATAGAATGATAATATTATTATTTTAATAGATGTTTAGAAATAATAGAAGTATCAGTAGAAAGAAAGAAGAATAGGTTTTGGTAGAAGAAGAAAGTAAGGGTTTTGGAAGAGATACCTATAAGTGCAAAGAGGAGGCAAAGCTAGGTGCAATCAGAGAGTTAGAGTAACCTTCAATCCAAGGTAAGGACGAATCGATATGATGATGTGAGAAGCCTTGCTTATGTGCATATTTACTATGTCTATTCCTTATGTCTTATATAATGATTATGATTTACTCACCCTTTCTGTTTGAATGTTGCCTCTATTGTACCCCAAAATTTTCCCTCCTCTTTTTCACAAGAAATCACAGCTTCGGGATTTTCCTGATTTTTCAGATTGGCTCAAGAATCGGTCAAATAGACTTTCCTTATCAGTCAAACAAAATTAGGGTTTCCATTAACTTTTGAATCAGTCCAAGCAGATTATTAGGGTTTTTAGTGATTTGGTTGAGTTTGGCTCAGGGTTTTGATCAGGCGGACGTTTCTTTAACAGTAAATCCAGAATTAGGGTTTTCACGAGCATTCTCAGAAGATTTTGAATCCACAACATTTCATTTGACTGTCACACTGCTTTGACGCTTGTTCAAGATTCCTGTTTGTTTCTCAAAGTCTAAACATCTGGGATAGAAGTTGAGGCTTCTGATTGAGAGTTTGAAGTGTTGGTTTAATCAGTGAAGTGAAAGGCGTATGGACGTTTGTTTGTTTAATTGTGCAATGCTTTTGGTTATTTGGAACGCCGGACGTTTGTTGATTATTTATAATTTCTAAGTTAAAATTATTGGGATAACTTCCAATTATTATAATTCAAGAAATTTAAGTAATTAAATAAACAAGTGCAGAAGAATTAAAAGAGATGTCTGGCAAAAAAGATTTTTATTCATTTTCAATTGTTGTTACAAATGTTTATTTGATACAGTAAATTTATTTACAGTGTTACAATGACGTTTATTACAATGATTAAAAATAAATTAAATCTATATCCTAAGTTGCTTGAAGTCTTCATCTTCTACTGCTGCTTCCCTTGCCCCAATTGATATTCACCTGCAAAGCCAGAAAAAGAGAAGTCAAACACAGATGAATTAAAAAAGGCATTTTCAGACAGTTAATCAAAAAGTTCATTATTAAAGGTTGTTGGCCGGAATCAGTTTGTTTTATTTTTGCTCGTCCTCTCTGCAAATCACA